TTACTTTTTCCAGGCTGCAGCAGTCTCAGTTTTGGTATAAAACGTGAACATTCCTCTTCTCTTCAAAAGCTTTCTCGGGAAAGGCAAGCAGACACCCACGATGGATAACTCCCCCCAAGGAATCTCAAACAACCCCGTGAGAGCAGAAGGAGCTCAGGTGCTTCGAGAAGTTGTTTGCCTGGGTTGCTCCCCCACACCAAAATCACTGCTCCCACTTCTATCCTGCTGTAAGAATCAGATCCAGGTAAATGCTGGTGTTGGAAATAACACTTCCCAAACCGTAATATTATGCAAAAACATTAAAAGAATCAGTTCAAAGCTGTTAATTTACTCCTAATGATCAATAACAGTAAGAGAACCTCTAATCAAGACATATTTAAACCTGAAATGGGCTATTCCAGGTTAATTTCAAAATGTTAGATCATGGTTAGTTACACATCTACATCCAAAGCAGTTAAACACACTCCCCTTTGGGGAATGCAAAATTTTTCCAGGAGCTATACTTTGTCTGTGGAGAACATCCTTAATTTTCCTACTTGCAAATGATTTCCTTTTCACTTATTCCTTCTTGAGGACACCTACCAAGGACTGTGCCACATACGCGTCAGGGAGAAAACAAGAGCTGAATCCATCATGGAGCATAAAAAAGAAAAAGGAAAAGAAGGAAAAACAATGCATTCCAGACATGTCTGGATTTTTAACTTGCTTAAAGTATCTGTCAGTGCAAGGGAATAGAATACCAGTCATAGCTACAGTCATAGCTCTGCAAGTGAGAAGGAAGAAAAGCCCTCCTGCTTCCTCCTTGTGAGGAGTCTTGACATTCCCTGCAGCATAACCGCGGTGTCCTTGCCCGGATCTCCCCGGAGAGCCTCAAATGCAGGTACCGCTACCCACGCAGACACACGTGCATGGGCACGCAAGCAGGAAGCTGCAGCACTGATGCTTTGAAGGGTCAAGGAAGGATTTTATGACAGTCGCGAGGGCCTTAAATGATTTGCACTGCTAATGGTACACACTTTTCACACCCATTTTCAGATGCGAGCCCAAGTTTTGCATTTTTGCCTTCTGTAGGATTCTCAGGGGTAGTGGTGCAGAGAGTAACTAACTACATCAGCACATACACTAGAGAAGAACCCACTTATGGCCATTTTATGTTCCTTTAGACAACACGTACCTTTTCCTGTGCAGTGTGCACACAGAGGGGAGAACAACTGCAGCGAAAAGGCAATAGGAAAAGCGAGAGGCACAGTCAGGGAATAGGAGGGGAGAGTGAGAAAGAAAGGAGGGTAGGAAGGAA